TGCTTCAGCTCAAGAAGATCTTCTCGGACAACGAATCGAGAGAGTCTCTTCCCTCCACCGACGGTAACTCCACCGTGGACTCCGGGGAACCTCCATCTCAAACTTTCTCAGATGATGCTGATGAGAAGTCTTCGACTCAACCAACCGACCCAACTGAACCTAGCGAGGAAGGTGCCTCGGAGACGACCAAGAACGAAGGCGATCCAGAGAATGAGCCTGAAGAGCTCAAAGAAAAGGAGCCAATTCCAGAACCGGAGCCATCCCAAGAGCAAGAATCTGGACCCGGTTTGAAGGACAAGCCTGCTACCGGAGACGAGAATCCTGAGTCCTCAGAGACGAGCAAAATTAGTACACCGGCTGAATCCGTACTGGAAAGAGTCGAGCCTCTGGATCTGGCTACTCCAAGCTCGCCAAAAGGGAAGAATCCTTTCTCTTTTGCTGCCATTGATGAAGCTGGAGAGACCTCGAGTGATTCGGGTGCTATCGAGCCAACTTCACCAACTACCAGACCTCCACTCACTACGACCTCCACAGGGATTTCTCTTTCAGAAAAAGTCGAGCAGCTTCGACGTGAGCAACAGGTCATGGGTAACGAAACGCCCTTGGCCAACGAGCCCGCTGAGGCACCGAAAGCAAATCCGGAGCGTACTTTGGCTCGCAGGGCTCCGATGATTAGAACTCTATCTCAGCCCGCCCAAACGTTACCAAGATCGCAGTCAAGCTTTGCCAAGTCAATCTTGCCAAAGGATGGCGCAGGGCCCAGCGAAAATTCCAGCGAGGCATCCTTCAAAGTGGAAAAGAAACCGTTTGATCGGCTGGCGTTGGGGATGAAGAGCCATAGAAAGGCCGGCCCCTCCTCAATCCCTCGGCTAATCACGAAGAAGAAGGATACGCACGTGTCGTCTCAGGTATCTAGGATTGCCAAGCACTTTGAACAACTGAGTCGCGAATTCGAGAAGGAAAGGCAAAGGGAAGATCGCAGAAAGCGCCTAGCGAAACATCAACCTCGTGCCGGTCTGCCACGCTCAGCAACTAAGGCCATTGTGGAGGTCTATCACAACATTGACAATGCCGTCCAGGAGGCCGGGCCGTCAAACACTGAACAAAATAATGAGATCAAGATTCTCGAGCCAAAGACTGCACCCGTAACCCCAGCACCTCCAGGTGTTGTGCATACGGAACCCGACACAATGCCGCCTACGGGAGAGTCACAGCCTGTAACAGAAGCTCCGGCCGCATCTGAAGAGCACCACGTTGGCGGAGAGACTGACGACACTGCGACGGTTACTGCCAGCCACGGTGGATCGGACGACGAAGGGCAAAGCGACAACGAAGAATCCATACTAGGCGACTTGCTGCCCGATGTGAAGGAGCTTGCAGACTCACTTGAGCCCAGCACCGAGATTCCGTTGGAACTACCCAAGCATCAAAAGACTAGCTTGATGAAGATGCTTACAAACTTCTGGGCCGAGCGATCTGCGAGTGGCTGGCCTCAGTTGGATTACCCGGTCAATGCCAGCGATCATATTTTCCTCGACTCGGACGTGATTGTACGAGAGGACGAGCCTTCCTCCGTTATTGCCTTTGCGCTAAGCTCTGATGACTATCGCACGAAGCTGGCTGATATCCGCCGTCAAGAGCGGATGGCCATACAAAAGGACTATGAGACATCAAATCTCGAGGGCAAGTCTTCTGGTATGTCTGACACTGGTGGTGAGTTCATGATGGAAGAGGGCGACCTAGAGAAGAGTCTGCTCAGAGCCACGGGTACCCATCTCAAGTATCAATTCAAGGAAGGTTCTGCGACAATGCTCTGCAAGATCTTCTATGCCGAGCAATTCGATGCGCTTCGCCGGAAGTGCGGTGTTGCAGATCGCATTGTCGAGTCTCTTTCCCGCTGCCTGAAGTGGGACTCGAAGGGCGGGAAAACGAAGTCGGTCTTTCTCAAGACTCTGGATGATCGACTGGTACTCAAGGTAAGACGGTGCTCCATTCGCTGTGTTCCCGTGCTCCAGATCATGAGTTAACGTACATGCAGGGCTTGTCGCCGATTGAGACGTCGGCTTTCCTTCGATTCGCTCCAGCCTACTTCGGCATCATGGCAGAGGCTCTGTTCCATGATTTGCCTTCTGTCATTGCCAAGATGCTAGGTTTCTTCCAACTGATTATCAAAAATCCAGTCACTGGCGTTGAGATCAAGCTAGACCTTCTTTTGATGGAGAATCTCTTCTACGATCGTGGCCCGACCCGTCTTTTCGACTTGAAGGGATCAATGCGCAATCGCAAAATCCAGTCCACAGGCGAGCAGAACGAGGTGCTTCTTGACGAGAACATGGTTGAATTTATCTACGAATCTCCTTTGTTCGCGCGCGAGCATTCCAAGAAGCTTCTGAGAGCATCCGTAAGTTCCCGAACAAGGCATTAGAAGCCGCATACTAACACAAGGGCAGGTCTGGAACGACACCCTGTTCCTCGCAAGGCAGAACGTGATGGACTACTCATTGATGATCGCCGTGGACGAAGCTAAGAAGGAGTTGGTTGTTGGTATCATTGACTGTATCCGGACGTACACATGGGACAAGAAACTCGAGAGTTGGATCAAAGATCGAGGATTTGCTGGCGGTGGCAGAAATCGCCCGACAGTGACCAGTCCCAAGGAATACAAGTCTCGTTTCCGGGAGGCGATGGCCAGGTATGTTCTTGACAGATATCTTCGACAGGCTTCTCCCGGTCATCGGCTAATACGCTATGCAGATATATACTCCAAGCACCAAATTGCTGGCATCAGTTCGGCGTGCCTCAACTCAACAACACCATGAGGCCACGGTTCGAATCAGATGCAAAGGCCGATTGAACCTCCGGCCAACCATGAACATTACCTGCCAATGGTTACTCGACTGTAATTAATTGAACTTTTGTAGCACCGAGAGAGAGAGAAGAGAGCATTGCATTGCCGGCGTTTTCCTTCAACAAGGATGAATGGATTGATGATTATGGAGGTATTCTAGTCTTAGGGAATGGGCGGAAGTATTAGAGTCCGCAAAAAGAAATGACCTAAAGTAGCATTATGGCGTCGATGAATTACGGCCTTCACAATACGAATACCCTCTAATGGCACATAAACGAATGATGAAGCCCCCCACGATAATTAGGCAGACGTGGTGGGAGATCTATCAGGTAGTAAAGCCATGAGCATTGCCTCATGTTATCCACGGGTTCAAGTACACCTGTGGAAACGAGCAACTCGGTCCACTAGAAAGCCAATTTAGCGCAACATGCTGCCGTTACCACCCCACCAAGCCCGTGCCTTGCCACCTGGAGGTCACTGAGCCCCAGCACTAGGTAGACAATGGCTTTAGAGAATCTACAGTGGAGGGTAAGGTATCCATCATCGACCCTGTGTGCACACTGCCTTGCGCACCTCACCTGAGTTCACTACCTCGTTTGATCAACAACTCAGTCCTCACTTATCTTTCCTCTTGTCACACAAGACCACAGCTCTAATGTCAATAGACCTCAACTGGGAGACGCTCACGACGGGCCCCGACGGAGAGGCTCTCGCCCTCCGCATCCGCGACTTCATTCACACCAAATTCCAGGCTGTGCCGTTGCCGCGCTTCATCAAGTCCGTCAAAGTACACGACTTTGAGTTCGGCACCATCGCCCCCGAACTAGAACTTAAGGACATCACCGACCCGTTACCAGAATTCTACGAGGAAAACTCCGACATTGAGGATGACGAGGAAGAGGAGCAGGCCATCCTCGAGGAGCAGGCACAGCAGCAGCAGCATGGGCCCAGGAGTCAGCTGAGCGCCGGCGAGAGGAGGAGGCAGAGGGAGGAGGCGTCGATGCCGCCGAGGCTGAGCACGCACGCGCTCCGTGGCCAGTCTGGGGACTTCCCCAGCCCGTTTCTGGGTGTATCGACGCCGGGGATTCTCGGCGGGACGTCGAACCTGCATTATTTCCAGTCGCACCTGGGCACCGGCTGGTCGGGCACGCAGACGCCCCTCGCCGCGGTGGCGGGCGCGCACATGGGCAACAGGCTGGACACCTCGGCCGTGCTTTCGCCTGTCGGCTCGCCGCCACCGAACGGGTTTTCCTCGCCGAGCCACAGCCGGAACCCGTCGCAGAGTTCCATCTCCGTAAGCGACTTCAACCCGGCGCTGGCGCAGCTGAGAGAAAAGTCGAGTGTGTCGACGCTGGCGCCCACGTCGGCGGGTGCGTCGAGGCCGCCGACGCGGGACACACACCTCGCGGGGTCGGCGATCCAGGAGGAGGACGAGGAGGTGCTGCCGGAAGACGAAGACGACAGCAACAACAACGCGCCGCGGTTCCGGGAGCCGAGGCCCGAGGACCTGCAGGCCGTGTTCCGCATACGGTACGCCGGCGACGTGAGGCTGCGCCTGACGGCGGAGATTTTGCTCGACTACCCGATGCCGAGCTTCGTAGGGATCCCCGTGCAGCTCAGCGTCACGGGCCTCACGTTTGACGGCGTCGGCGTGATGGCGCATATCCGGAAGAGGGTGCAATTTTGCTTCCTGAGCCCCGAGGACGCGGCCACGGCCGTGGGCGCGGACGACGCGGGCCCCAGCGAGCCGGGCAAGAGGTTCGGCGGCTTGCTGCAGGAGATCCAGGTCGAGAGCGAGATTGGCCTCCGGGACGGGGGCAAGCAAAGCTTGAAGAATGTGGGCAAGGTAGAGAGGTTCGTGCTGGAGCAGGTGAGGCGGATATTCGAGAATGAGTTTGTGTATCCCAGCTTCTGGACATTCTTGGTTTAGGAAGATGAATGGGTTTGGATGGGGCGGGGTGGTTGATCGACCTGGCGTTCTTCACGAGGTATGACATGCATTCTTCATAGGCACAAGGGAAAAAAGTAAAACGGCTGGTTAAAAATCAAGAGCTGGTGGGATTCGCTCTGCATTGGTATCTATCAACAAGGAAGAACAGGATATTCCTCTCAACATACACTTCTCCTCTTTCGAAACCTTCCACCTTTTTGTTTACGTGAGAGTACTCTTGAACCCCTGGTAAGCCTGCTGAATGTCCATCTCAAGCTCGCGAGCCTGCTGCTCGCTCAGCTCGTCCGTGGCCTTCATCTGATTCAGCGTGATGAGCCACTGCACAATCTTGCCCCTGCTGTCAAAGTCGCGGTCGGTGACCTTGTTGACGGACTGGATGACGTCGGAGAGCAAGGGGTGCAGCTGATCCTTGGAGAGCAGGCCCAGCTTGACGGCGTCGAGGAAGGTGATGAACTCCTGCGTCGCTTCCAGAATGAGCGTGCCGCTCGTATTACCGGCGGCCGTGGGAGCCGGAGCAGCGCTTGATGAGGCTGTCACGGTTGTCGAGGGCATGCCGACGCGGATGCGCTCTGTTGCGCGAGGGACTTCGAGCTGTTGTAGGAAGTGGGCGACATGGTCAGCAACGTGTGCGATACTGGCTGGTATAGAGAAGTGGTAGACGAACATCCCATTCTGCCTTGAATTCCTCCAAGCCCACAAAGGCTTTTGCCACGGTCTCGTCTGCTAAAATGGACTTGTACTGCTTCAGGGAGCGCTCGCAGATCTCGGTGTAATCGGCCTCAAGGATCGCATCTTTCAGGAAAGCCTTCTCGAGCTCGTCGAGAGTGACAATAATGCTAAAGATCTCGGCGAGCGAGTCTTGCAGGTCGCGCTCGGCGCGTGTGTCGGCTAGCTTCACCTCCTGTTGTGACGCATCGTCATGTTAGCTGGATGTTTGCCTGCGGGGGCGGGGCAGTTATTGGAGGGGATGACGGTGACGGTGATTGGGCTTAATTAACTTGCCTCATCGAGATTGATGGTTGCCGATAGTGTGGTATTGGGAATATAGCTATGCGGTGTCGGCGCATAGGGTTGCCGGGGGATCATCTTCGCAGCTGTGCTTGGATCGTGGTCGGCTTCATGGTCGTTAGACAGCTTTTGAGCTGTCGTTGGAGCTCTCAGGTAGCAAGTGGTGGTGCAAACAGGTGTGTCGCAGAGCCACAGTCAAGGACGTAAGACACGGGTGTGCAGGTTCCCAGGCCCAAGGTAGAACGTGGGGCAACCTTTGAGGAACCAGTACCAAAGGTGGCTTAGCGCGATTTTCTGATAAGATAAGCGTTCAGAAAAATTTTGGACGGACGCCATGCAGTTGCTGCCATTGAGAAAGTCTCGAGGTTCCCGCGTCCACTTCCCAGAGTCCCTGCAGCCAAAACTTCACTTTTACCCCCCCAAACCACAGGACCGAATAACCCCGGCTCCATAATCCATCATGGGTTCCCAGAAGAAGAACCTCAAGGCGACCAAGAAGTTTGAAAAGAACAAGCTTAAGGGTGTCTTGGACAAGAGGAAGGAGACGGCGAAGATCAAGCAGCGCCACCAGGTCAAGGCCAAGAAGGCGACCAAGAAGACCAAGGATTCCGAATTTTTCAAGAATGACGAGGCCGCTGCCAAGGCAAAGGCCAATGGCCACAAGAAGGACACCAAGGTCAGCGCCATGAGTGTCGACGACTTCTTCCAGGGCGGCTTCGAGGAAATCATCGATAAGAAGGACAAGAATGCGACAAAGAAGCTCGGCAAGAGGAAGCGCGATGGGCCCGCCAAGCAGTCAGGAGAAGAGGACTCTGAGGAGGAGGGCAGCGGCTCGGAATTCTCCGTCGAGGAGGAGCCCATTGGAAGCGACAGCGAAGACGGCGAGGGCGATGAGGACGACGAGAACCTTGGCATGACCAAGGAAGCCATGGACAAGCTCGCCCAGAACGACCCCGAATTCTACAAGTTCCTTAAGGAAAACGACCCGGAGGCCCTCGACTTTGACGAGAACGCAGACCTTGCTGAAGTAGACGAGCTCAGCGCCGGCAGCGATCAGTCCGACGATGACGAGGAGGAACAACCGAAGAAGAAGCGCAAGAAGGCTTCCAAAAAGGCCGAGATCGAGGAGGTCGTCGCTGCGGACAATGAGCTGACGCGCGAGATGGTGGGCAAGTGGAAGAAGCTCCTCGCTGAGAAGCAGAGCTTGCGTGCTGCCCGTCAGGTTGTCCTGGCTTTCCGCTGCGCCGCCCATCTCAACGAGGACGACGCCGACGACTCGACCCCACAGAGATACACCATCTCCAGCCCCGAGGTCTTCCACGACATCTTGATCGTTGCCTTGAAGCAAATACCCGAGATTATCTCGCACCACTTGCCCATCAAGGAGTCTGCGTCTGGCAAGATCTACGTGCCTACCGATTCGAAAAAGTTCCACACCCTGTCCATCATGATCAAGACCTTCACTGCGTCCATTATTCACCTTCTCGGCACGCTGTCCGACGATGCTACTCTCAAGCTCACCATTGGCTCATTAGAGCCCCTCGTCCCCTACCTCATGTCCTTCCGCAAGCTTCTTAAGGCTCTCATCAAGACTGTTGTCAACTACTGGGCCAGACCCGCCAGTTCAGAAACGACAAAGATCACTTCCTTCCTGGTCCTGCGGAAACTCGTCGTTATCGGCGACAAGGGCCTTCGCGAGACTGTTCTCAAGACGGTGTACCAGGGACTCGTCTCCGGTTGCAGGACAACAAACGCCAACACCATCCAGGGCATCAACCTGTTGAAGAACTCCGCTGCTGAGCTTTGGGGCATTGACCAAAACGTCGGTTACACCACGGCCTTCACCTTTATCCGCCAACTCGCCATTCACCTCAGAAATAGCATCGTCAAGAAGGAGAAGGACGCCCATAAGATCATCTACAACTGGCAATACACCCACTCGCTCGACTTCTGGTCATGCGTGCTTGCAGAACACTGCAGCCCCCTGAAGGAGGCGGAGACTGGCAAGGAGGGACAGCTCAAGCTCCTGATCTATCCCCTTGTGCAAGTGACTCTGGGAGCGATGCGCCTTATCCCCTCGCCGACTTTCTTCCCCCTGCGGTTCCACCTCATCCGCTCCATCCTTCGTCTTTCCCGCGCTACCAACACCTACATTCCTCTCGCTTCAGCTCTGATTGAGGTTCTCGAGTCTGCCGACATGAGAAGGTTCCCCAAGGCCTCGTCCATCAAGCCCCTCGACTTCCACGTTGCCTACAAGGCACCCAAGTCATACCTCCGTACGCGTGTTTACCAGGACGGTGTCGCCGAGCAGGTCGTTGAGCTCTTAAGCGAATACTTCACCATCTGGTGCAAGAACATTGCCTTCCCCGAGTTCACCCTTCCCGTTCTCATTCAGCTGAAGCGCTGGCTCAAGGGCGCGCGCAAGATTAAGACGGGCAACAAGAACAACAAGGTCATTTCGCAGATTGTGCTGCTGGTGCAGAAGCTCGAGACCAACGCCAAGTTCATCGAGGAGAAGCGTGCGAAGGTGGAGTTCGCGCCTAAGGATCGCGCGCAGGTGGATGCCTTCCTTCGCGACTTTGAGTGGGAGAAGACGCCCCTCGGCGCATACGTTGTCGTGCAGCGCAAGATTAGAGAGCAGAAGGCCAAGGCGCTCGAGGACGCGAGGAAAGAGGACGAGAAGAAGCGTAAGCAGGAGGAGAAGGATGCGGTTGCGGAGAACGCCGCAGACGACGACTCTGAGGAGGAATACGCCGACGAGTTGATGGACGACGAGGCCGAGGATGACGATGAGATCGAGGAGGATGAGGAGGAGGAGGATGAAGATGATGATATGGAAGACGACGAGTAGGTTGCGGATTTTGAGGAAGATCTGAGATGCAAAAGTGTTTTTAGGGCGTAATCCAAGTACGCTGGTGTTAGGTTATATCATGGAGGCATTTGCGAATAATCCGGAGGCTTGTAGCCCTCAAATCTAGCGTCCTCGTTGCACCACTCTGCGTCTCCTATATTGAATACCTGCTGTCTACTATGAAAATCATGTCTCATACACTTGGCCATCGCTGGTCTAGACTGAAAGAGAATCGGCCTGCTTGCAAGCCGTTTGCAGATGAAATATACCCTGGGAACATTTACACATGGATGATGCAAGGATGGAGACTGGAAATTAGCACGGACCGGACACTGAGACCGCCTTTTGCTGGGGAAGGATTTGGGGGCTTACATCAACACCTAAACTCCCGTAAGATGTGCAACTGTAGGGAATCTCTGTGCGGCGGCACAGGCAGCTGAGAGACCCTGTTGATCTTTCCGATAGACGTCTGCCTAACTTCAGATCAACCCGACACCTAATGCACATTCTCCTTACCTCAGGTGACTCGACTACATCTCTTCTCACGTGTCCTTGGTTTTACATCTTACCCGCCTCTTACCTCGACTTGTTATTCCTCAAGATTGTTGTTTGATACCGAAGCGCACCTCTCTTATCCGGTCACCTCCCCATCAATAAGTCTCATCGGATGCGGTGAGCCCATCGCAATCATGGCTCCCCTGGCCGCAGACCCCCGCCAGCTCGTGGTGGTCCTTAACCCGGCTCGCCGCAAAGCGTTCTATACCCTCCTCTTCGATATCACGGGCTACATGCGCTCGCAGCTCGAGCTCAAAGACGGCGGCGACCAAGCAGCAGATTCCAGCGGCAATCCGGCATCGCCGTCACTCCAGGACAGGAACGCCCCGCTCTTCGTCCCGGACCGCGGCGACGGACGCAGCAGCAGCCCCAGCCACCCGGACCGCGGCGGTTCCGGCGTGCACAGCGCTCAGCTGCGGGCCCTGAGGAGGGCGGCGCTCAAGCACTTTGACGGGTGGCGGAAGGAGGTCCTCGAGAAGGTCAAGGAAATTGTCTCGGTTAAGGACGATGACAAGATCCTCGAGGCCAGGAAGAAGCGCTTAGATGAGCAGGAGAAGCTGAACGCAGAGTCTCCCGGCGTCGGAGAGGATTTGATCAACTTTGGAGATGCTTCTCAGACTGCTTCTTCTTCTCCGGCGGCGAACAAGATCGACGAGGAGGTGACCGCACTGCAGGAGCATTACCATCCCATTCCGAGCCGGTTCACCACGATCCCGGCGAATGATAGGAAAGAGGTGCTAAGCTGCCTCTTGGTCCTTATCTTGTCTACCGGTTGCTACTCAGCACACTCCAGAGTCTTGGCCCTTTATCTCACGTCCGCCTTCGGTCTGCCTCTCTCGGCCCTCATCGCCGAGGAGACGGAAATCGCAAAGTCTCTGGTTGAATCTGCGACCTCTTCCGAAGGTCAAAAGGCCACCATGTCCGCCGAGGCCGAGGCCGCGAAGCGACGACAAGAGAACCAAAAGAGCCGTTTCTGGAAAGTTGGCCTGGCCTCCGTGGCAGGCGCCGCCGTCATTGGCATCACGGGTGGTCTCGCGGCCCCTGTGGTCGCCGGCGCCATCGGCGGCATCATGGGCAGCGTCGGCCTGGGAGGCGTCGCGAGCTTCCTCGGCATCTTTTGGATGAACGGCGCGCTGGTCGGGACCCTTTTTGGCGCGTTCGGAGCCAAGATGACGGGCGAGATGATGGATACCTACGCCAAGGAGGTGGAAGACTTCCGCTTCCTCCCGCTCAAGGACGAATGGGGCCAGGACTATAAACGCGCTGACCCGGACGGCAAGCAGGGTGCCCGCCTCCGCGTGACGATTGGCATCAACGGCTGGCTGAATGACGAGGGCGACGTGACGAAGCCGTGGCGCAGCTTGGGTGATGAGTCCGAAGTCTTTGCCTTGCGCTACGAGATGAAGTCACTTCTCGCCCTCGGTGCTGAGCTCGAGGGTCTCGTCTCGTCGTACGCGTGGAACTATGTAAAGATTGAGATCCTCAAGCGCACTGTCCTTGCTTCGCTCTGGGCTGCTCTGTGGCCCGCCTACCTCATCAGCGCCGCTTCAAAGGTTGACAACCCCTTCAACCTGGCCCGCAACCGTTCAGACAAGGCCGGTCGCGTTCTCGCTGATGCTCTCATCGCCAAGGTCCAGGGAGAAAGACCCGTGACTCTGGTCGGATATTCGCTCGGCGCTCGCGTCATCTACTCTTGTCTGCGATCACTCGCTGAACGTCAGGCTTTCGGACTAGTCGACACCGTGGTGCTCATCGGTGCCCCCGTGCCGTCCAACCGGGAGCACTGGCAGGTCCTGCGGTCCGTGGTGTCGGGCCGCATCGTCAACGTGTACTCGGAAACGGACTACATTCTCGGGTTCTTATACCGTACCACCTCTCTCCAGCTAGGCATCGCAGGTCTCCAGGAAGTCAAGGACATTGAAAGAGTCGAGAACCTGAACCTCAGCGCAGAAGTCAGCGGGCACCTCCGCTACCCGAGCTTGATCGCCAAGATCCTGACACGATGCGGATTCCCGAATGTCAAGGGCGGCGAGGGCGTTATAGAAAAGGACGAAGACCTAGATATCAAGATTACGGATGAGGAGGCGGGTTCGCAGATGGGCGAGCTTATCCAGCTCGAGGCGCAACCTGATCCCGAGTCGGAGCCGCAGCCGATCAGATCCAAGCAGACCGCCAGGTTCCCGAACGAGCTGCGTCACCCGTTACATCCTGACCCACCTGAACAGAAGAAGAAAAAGAACCCGAACCGGAACAAGGTCTCTAGATCTGGTGGTGCAACCGTTTCGGGGTCTCTCGATCCTTTGGGAGGCGGTGGCGGCAACCCCTTGAACCTGAGAAGTCTTGGCCAGGCAAAGCAGGGACCGCGGTCGCCTCACCACGAGGAGCTCCGTAGTCTAGGCTCTCCACCTCCTGAGAAACAAGAGGCGAGAAGCGCTCAGCCTGCCGATCCCCTGAATCTCAGGGCTCTGGGGGCAAAGAACGAAAACCCAGTTCCTCCTGCTGTCGAGAATGATCCAAGTCAGCCGGGCAAGGAACCAGAGCTTCCTCCCAGGCCTTCTGCCATCCACTCGTTCCAGAGCGATGGTGCTATAGACTTGCACCGCCGTCCGGAACTGCCAATCAGGCCCAAGACCTTCCCTGTTCCTGTTCAAGAGGAAGAGGATGATGATAGCGATGACGAGAGCTTCAAGGGAATTCAGCTGGTTGACAATGAAGACATGACGAGTTACTCGGAGCCCTTGAGGGCGGACGACTAGACCAGATGCAGAACAGAGATAATGCGCCAAGTTGGCCGTTCAATAGGAATACAGTACTTCTTAAGCAAGGACATTCTAATTCCACGTCAAACCCCTCCAATTTCAATCAATACGGCTAAACTTATACTTATTTGGGGTATTCATGTCTCATGGGTATCTATAAAGTTTTATAAGAACGGTTATCCTATGAGCTGTAAAACAACTTGGCTATGGAAATTGGTTAATCCTCTTAGACAACTGAGCGTTGCCTATTTAAGTTCGCTCCCCACGCAGAGACTTGTACCTCCTCTTCAGCAGACTCAAGCTCGTTGAGATATCCGACAACTGTGTGGGTTCGAAATTCACAGACCGACAGTCGATCCCTCTGTTGGATGGCTCAAGATGACTTGCAGTATCACCATCCCATCGACCCCGCCGCCAGAATCTTTCGCCAAGGGAAATTCCGAGGAGACATCGTTCGTTTCTGACCGCTATCACCTGTGTATTCAGTAATGAAGCATCCACAAAAGACGCCCGACAGTCTCCGGCCAGCTCTGGAGAACACACCGCCTTCGACGTGAAAAGGAAGATCAACAAAACCGCGGAAGTCTTCAACATATGATTCCTCCCTTCCATACTCCAATCTCACCCTGCCTCTAACCTCCAGGAGAATCCTGACAGGTCACTTTGCCTTGGCTGGGAGAAGAGACTAGAGTTTAGAAATCGGTCTTTCGCTATTTTTATAGTGCCCTCCCTCTTGGACTGGGAGCTCAGCGCCAGAGTGACAACAATGTGGTCAGGTTCATTCGTCATATCCAGTATAAGTTTGATGTTTTATCTATGAGAACGAACAGTGTAATCACGTCAAACTCTCATGATCCACGTTATTTTCCAACCTTTGATCATCTATAGTGCGGGTTTTGTTTGCTGTAAGAACATCACTCAGAAAACGTTACTGAGACTAGAGGTGCTCACTAACTGACTTTCCCATTCGTTCTTAGCTCCTATTCCCCTGCTCCTATCGAGGGTGTCTTACCTTCACCTCGAACACCTATTGAGTACGATCCTACTGTTCTCTTGAACGTGCCGGTACCACATAGAACCGTTATCAGAGCAAGGCATGGGGTTCTGAGCTCCGGCCCCTTCCAACATGAGTCAGCTAGACATCGTCAGCTTCGAGACTTACAACGTATATACTTCTTCAGGTTCATATGATTATTGCTAGATATACAGTCTCAATACCAACCGTATACTGTGGGTCGGAACACGTTGTTTCTTACCCACTTGTCAAGTCATCCTTCGCAGCAAACAAGCTGGCAAGAAGCCACTCGGGCTGCTTCAACCGAAACCTGTCACCAATCGATGCTTTGATGGCAGACTGCATGCTTCCCTCAAGAAATAGACGTAAAAATTATGTTCTCACTTCGTGGGAAGTGAATCAAACAAGACGAGAGAAAGACTGGCAAGCCTTCCTTCATCGCTTGCTCATTTGTATTCGTGGATATGTACGTTTCAACGGCAGTAGCCATATCATAGGATGCATTGTACTATAGTCACACAAAAGCATCTCAATCTACTCGTTTACTCAGGTCATGAACGATATGCACAGCAACGTTATTGCTCCATCGTCTTGGCGTGTATGTGGTCCAAGCTAGTAGAACCATGACTTAGATAGGAAATTCGATACTAAGCCAACTGCTTGCAGCATGTCAAGGGGGACGCCGTCACCATGAGCACCTACACATCAAGAGAGAACTTGTCTTATATGACACCGCCATTGCTACGTGAGACTGGGCTAAGCTGACAAGTCAGCCAGCCACAGCCATGGTTACCTTACGCAGACACATATTCAGAGCTGAGCCATGAACAGGGCGCCATATTCACAAGCCAGTGGAAGCCATGGGTGCAAGCCCTGTCGCGTCTGATGCGAAACTTACATGGACAAGCTTACGGTTGGCGGCCGACAAAGTTAAGATGGAGAGAGACCGGCACTCTGGCGATCACGAGGTTTCCTCGCCACTCCATTGGGTTCTACTTTCCAGGTGTCGTCTGCTGTCTCCCCCGCTCAGAGTTCCGATGAAGCTGCCTTTCGCAACAAAAGATGTGTGGGGCAGAATTGGAAGCATTCCACAACCAAGAGATCTGCCAAATGCCACGGCAGTATCGATGTGGGTGTGCGGAGTAGTGGTTGTAGGTTTGCAGGTTTTTGCTTGAACTAAACTTTGGGCCACTTGAGACTAATAGGACAGAAGCAGCGTGTGAAGACGCTCCCGATGCTGAGATTTGGGATTCCTCTGGGTCTTTAATCAGTCTAATATTGTGGAAAGTCAAGTCTCGCTGACGAGGCTTAGACGGACCCGAAAAGAATTATTTGCGACGAAAAGCTCCGCCAAAAAGCGGCAACCCGTTCGGAGATGTAGCGTCATGCATCCTTCGGGAGTGACATGCAGCCGAACGGGATCCGCTCGACGATACGGTTTTTGACGGAGATAATATGATGCAGATTCTCAGCAACTCCAGAATGCAGCTGTGCTTTTTTCTCGCCTTCTGCACCGAGCAGATTGAGGTCCAAGCCTTGAGGGTCGTTGAAGAAGAAGAATGGAACCAGTGAGATTGCGGATGGCAGTGAATGGGGCGAAGGAGAAGATTTTGGCGTGAATGCATGAAGCGGAGGCAGGGAAGGGCGGGATGACCGCAGGGATGGGAGGTTTGGAAAGGTGATTGGCTGCGATGAAAAGGACCCCTGTTCCTGAGACGGTAGGGGACGGGCTTGTAAGGCGGCTGTTGGGTCTGTGTAGTCGAGGCGGTCAGTCGAGGTCAGATGAGCCCATGGCCGGAGGGGTTTGCGGCCATAGGGCAAGCGGTATTACAAGGAGGCTGATGGCAAGCTCAAAGTGCGCAGGCCGTCGCGGAGTGGAAGAGTGTGTGTTTGCGAGGGACAGCCGAAGAAGCGCGCCGTTGGCTCGGGTTCCTCCTGTGTCAGGTCCGGCAGGTCTTGGTCGAGGCCTGAATCTGACCTTTGGTGGCCTCAATCCCTGCAGGATGTGGTGATGCAGCGAGGGGTTTTTGTGAGAGGGGAGGTGATGAAGCCTGTGCACCTCAGGAAGCAGATGAGCAACCTTTTGTCAGTCGGTCTAGTATAGAGCATGGGAGGCACCCGTGATGTCTGGGTTCGCCATTTCGGTCCGTCATGTTGCGGTTTCCCGGGTTGAGCGACGAGTTGGCTCGATGCGGATGTCATAGGCCAAGGATCGTCGCTCCAGCGTGTGATGGAAAATGACTCGGGTTGCCCCTGTCCGACAGCTGCTGGTTTTTGACAGGCCCAGAGAGGCAGAGGGGCCGATTTGCCTTGTTTTAACTCCTCAAATCCAAAGTCCGCCATCTCTACCGGTAGTGTAGGTAGAAAAAGCGACAGTATGAAACTTGAGAGACGCAAGACCGGTTGCGAGAAAACGAGGCGCCCACCATCCCATCGGCGGAATCGAGGTTGACGATCGCGTGTTCCAGGCCCTGCACGACCAACGGACTCTTGAAAAGTGTAGAACGAATCAGTGACCATTGTTGTGTTGTAGTAGTCGCGTACGGAGTAGTGTACTAGGTATTGCAGTGTACTAGTAGTCTGCTCCGGCATGTTCAGTCCGAAGAAGGAAATATACCTTTGCTTACCCGTGGTTGGATGGAGGTACCTCGAGCGAAGCGGCGGGAGGAAAGATACCTTAGGGGTCCAAGTACCGGGCACAGCAGTGACAGACCTGAGAGAATGGAAGTGCGGGGCTATTTTATCTCAAGGCTCAAAGTCCGCGATTTGGCCCGACATATTGACATTTAGGATTTGGGACGGGGGCCTTGCAAGACTGCCCGTGAACCTCCAGAATCCAACGTCTGAGGGTATCCCTAATGTGATCTCAAGAAAGTCAATCATAGGAAGCTGCCAGCCATATAAGGTACGTGCGTGCAGACAATTCCTCCGCTGAGCTACCATTTCGGGCCATGTACGTGAGAATAAGGCAAGGTGCATTGCGGTAGGCACGGTGAGAAGGCGCTACAGACCATGAGGCGTAGCATATGAAGCAGGCACCAAAATCTTAGCACGGTCCAGTAATATCAAGAGATGGGAACTCTCGACTCGAGATACCTACCTAAAGGTACCATGGAAGGTGCTGGTCATTTATCAGATAGGTTGTTTTTCCTGAAGGATGGGAAGGGGATGATGATGGGTGGTGCCTCCTGTTTTATTTTTGTCAGCCAAGGCATTCCCCATTCACCACAGTCCAGTCCTCCAGTCCCAATCCCAGCTCTCCAGTGCCAGTCTTAGTTTTTGTTTCCGTTTTTTTTTCCCCTTCCCTCCTTTGACACTCCAACCGCAGTCGCCGCAGTCGCCGCTGCACACACCTCACACACCTTACCTAGCAGACGTACCCGGGGAAAGGGTACCATCTCAGTCACTATTTATTATTTACCTCAAGGTTGGGGTACTCTGTCAGTACTTCGTCTTCGTACCTTCTTTTGAAGGAGCCCGCGCCTGAATCCCCGTCCCACGTCCACGTCCCACTCGACAGGCCCCACGATCAAATATCCACACCCTGCACCTGGATTCCCCATTACACCTCACCAACGCTCACGCAACACACCCTCGCCTCGCCTGCCTCGCCCTCCCACCCTACCCGCCTCTCGCCGCTGAGTTCCGACTTCTTCCCGTTCACACTCTTCCATATTCACGATTTCTTCCCTTTTTCGACTGCCCTTCGTTGGAAAAGAAATTTGGCCTCAACATCCTTCACGCCAATACGACAACAACAACAACAACAATAACCTACGTTCAAGCGCAGACCGCTTCACCGTTCGAAGTCCCTTCTTCAGACGACACAGCGACAGCCCGGCCCCTAGCTCCTTCCCGAACCCCCCTCTTTCTCTGGCCGTGACGTACGATTCAAGAAACCGGTCGACGGCAAATTTTACGACTTCCCCTCCATCGGCCTTGACGAAGACGCCTCGACTTCTTCCACGGCCGCATATCAGTTCCCACCTTTCACAGGCAATTTGTGAGCGGACCAACAGCACAGTACAGAGGCGGCGTTACCAACGCTTGTCTTATCTGTTGCGAGCTGCTACGAATATACCACCCGATTGCACACCTATTGCACACCTATTGCGCCAAACTCAGCTGCAAATTCCACTCTTCTCAGCCGATCCCGAAAATGAAGGGCCGTCCCATTGACCAGCTCGTTTATGAGCACATGTTTCCCAAGCCTCGCGCGAGCGACCCTCAAAATTTCCATGCTCTCTTGCAGCGCAGCCTGATTTTGGAGGTTCGTCAAGAGGTTCACTCCTTCTACGGCCATCTCGATACTCAAGAAGCCAAGTACCCGGGCTTGGATTACTGCAACCCCATCCACCGTATCCGTCTGAGTCGTTGGACCTGGCACCGCCGCTTGTTCCGAGCGTTTGATAACCTCCATCTGACCCCTAACGAGATTGCGGGTTTGACCAAATGGGAGGGCACAAGATGGGCTAAGGAGCGCTACGAGAAGGAGCAAGGCATCTCCATTAGAGATACTGCCGGCGATGGATTCCCTGACTGGATCGAGCCGGAGGATCGTCCAGCGGCCCCGGTTCGAAACCCTCGATCAAGGTCTGTGGATACAGATGATGCTACCGACCCTGGAGACGAGGACATGGACGGTGAAGAGAGTGACGAGGAACTCGAGAGTGTCGGTGTTGCTCTGAACCAGCGATTGAGAGAGAGGGCAGCACGACGAGAGGCAGGAGACATGTCTACGGTCTTGGACGAGGAATGGGAGCAGTGGCTAAAGAACGTTATTGAGAGTGGCGAGCTGCCATATCTCTCCAACGACGACATCTCACCATCGAGAGCTGATCCGGCAGCCGTTGCAGTTGTGCCGCAAGCACTCTTCCCCCCTCGCATGCTGAGCGCTGCTCGCGCTGGTCAGTGGCAAGACATACCCGACTTCCTCCACGACATTATTCGCCGTACGCTTGAGAACCAGAACTCGAGCAGTGGCGAGGAGACTGCAGCACCTCCTCGCTTGCCCTCTATTTCAAGTCGCAATGCGGCACGGGAACGCAGAGGCACTGACGAACATCACATTGGCGGAATCTCGAACTGGAGACGTACATATTCGGATTTGCGACTCCCTGTCGGCGACAGCGCAGCCAGCCCGAATTTGCAGAGGACGGCACAGGCACCCGGGGCCTAGGAAGTTTCGGCGCCTGACGTTCCCTCCCGTGGGCATGAAACATTCGTTGACCAAATGAACGTGATAAGCGGGGAAGAGCTATCTCGAACTGTGCATGAGATTATGTTGCCCACCAGACGTCAACCAACAATAGATCGACCGATCATAAACCCGCTGACCGGCGAGTTTGATGTCGACGCTTACCATGCTTTATGGGCCAGCCCTTACCCTTCAACTTTCGTATACTCCGACCCAAGCACTTGGAGCCAGATATGGAACTGGGCCCCGTTGTCGACCGGAGAAGACCCGAGACTTCCGTGATCACGGCAGCGGGTATACCGCTGGATTTCTTCGAACGCCTCGACCCGCATCTCCAGTCGAAGAGGCGATTTCTTTAGTCTGATTCAAAATTTTCAATACTAGAGTTCCTTGAGTTTTTGGGCAAAGAGAGGATCGCCCCAACAAGGCGACTACGCACTACACATCACTCGGTTATTCCCCCATACGGCGTTGGAAGGATTGCTCTTATGCTTCTGTGGGATTGCAAGGGATTGGATGAGCGAGCACAAGAAATTATGAGGAAACGAGAACTCTCTGCATTTTGAGGCCCGCTTCCAGGGAGGCCGTTTGTATCTAACTAAGAGACCTTAGTTATAAAAGTGCTAATTTTGGTGACAACCCTGCTCGATTACCTACCTACGTGTACAACATGCCATGTCAGTAAAAGTCTCATGCTCGTGGAGATGATTCAGATGCGATTGAGGGATGCGGCTTTTTGGTAAAACATTTCAATTCAGTCGTTGGCTTGACATAGCAGCCTCGCGGCCTTTCCCGAACGCCACGACCCGACCTGACTAGAAGCACACTGCTGGTAATCTTCCGGAAAGCTCTATCTGATAGTCCCTTATCGAGTAGAGAAAAGTACAGTCGCCACCCAACGCCAACTCCTTGAAGCTTCAAACCCGCCCCAATCCGATATTTTTCTTTTCGTTGCACTTACTTCGTGACCAACCAAGCCCTACGACACACGACGCACCCTATGCGACCGCCGCCTCAACCCCCCCGAAGGATTTTCGGTAACCTTTGGGGTTTCTTGCTGCGGCGTCACATGCCTTGGATCGCCCTTCCCGGGTCTCATCGAGCCCTTCTACGGCTCGAGGTGAGACCATTCGGGTATGGCCTTGATCTGCTGCCACATGTACTTCTCCAGCTTGTTGGCGCTCTTCGCATACGGCGTAGACTCGTTATTGTACTTGCGACAGTTATCGAAGACGAGCTTGGCATCCCTGATAAAGTCCTCCGGCGTTGCGTACTGATCTGCTTCGAGTTTGGTCTCCATCGTACTAAGATCCATGGGTTCCTTGATAACTTCGTAGTAATCGGCGACGTCGTCCTTGTTGACGGGCACGAGGAAGGGCCAGGCAGACTGGTGGTTCTGCAGGTCGTTGAGGAGGTGGAGAAGCTGGTTGTAGTTGGGACCGTGGCGGGGCTGGCGGGCGAGCTCGTCCATATCGGGCGACCAGCCTGATGCGCGAATGGCGCTGATGGTGAGCGGGTCGATTGGCTTGGCGCCAGACTTCCATTCTTTTGGCGGAGCGTGGACGATGTGCGATTTCGAATAGGCGCGGATTTTGGCCTGGACGCACTCCTTTTGCTTCAAGAGCATGCGGCCCATTTCGAGATATCGGATGCGGGGCAGCATTGAACACTGCATGATCGTACCGCCCTCATAATCCTTGATGTAACCCATCCATACGCTCTTATCCAGCGTGATCTCTTTGGTGAAACCTTGCTTTTTGAAGTATCCGATGGCGTAGTTGTCAGCATACGTGAGGAAGTGCATCACGTCGCTGGTCGCCTTGACATAGTCCTTCAAGTGGGACATGAGATGCGCGCCGTATCCCTTAACCTGCTGATCAGAACTAATGGCGCAGAAGACGATTTCGGCGAACTGGCGACCTTTGAAGGGGCGGTAGGTGATGCCGCCGACGACCTCGAGGGGCTTCTTGACGATCGCGATGGACAAGTGGGTCCGGTCGTAGACGAGTCGCGCGATGTAGTCTTTCGGCATCTTGGGGAGCTGCTTTTGGAAGATGCATTTGAGGCCGGTGAGGATGATGAGGGATTCGCGCTCGTTGTCGTTGTTGACTACCCGGAACTCGATCTCGCCGGTGCGCTCTTCGATGACGGCGGGCTGTCGCAAATCATGGTCAGCTTCGGCGGGTCTAGGTGGAGGACGCGCATGGAGAGCGCGTAGCGGGCATCAACTGTGCGATGGTCGCGACGCAGTTTGAGGAGTAGAGCTCACCTTTTCGGGGAAGGGGATGGGCTTCATTGCCGGCTTCTTTTCTGGTTCGGCCGACTCATTGTGCTTGACCCGTTTATTCGCGATCGGGGAGGACGGCTCCTCCTCAGCCTTGCGCTTCGTGGCTGTGACGCGATATTAGCGCGTGCCTAAGGTCATATGTTGAACCAGCGACCATGCGACTTACTCTCTTCCTTCATTTTGACCTCGATCGCGAGCCTTCGCAGGCCTATTTCGATGAACCTTGTCGATGGATGATGTCGAGGTGGTTCCTGGGTGGTTGATGACATGCCGCGCTAGGCTCTGCCGTTTCTCCGTTGCCGGATGGCGCCAAGTGGGTCGATGCACAAGGGGAAAGTGGGATTGAGCTAAGCCCTTTTTGGTTCAGGCCACAATTCACGGTGGGACCCTTTGGAGCTCAGAACACGTTTGGGGGAAGCTACAACCCGCGCTTCATGATCTCCCATTGACAGCACTCTCCGGATACATCTGGACATTCACGACTCTGTGCAAGCCTTGTTCAACGGTCCGGACCACCTTCTGCGACATCGACGCAAACGACTCAGACACGAAAGAACAATCAATTGTCTTCTTCCCGATCAGCAGATGGACTCCTCGTTGCTTGAGGTCTGGCAAGCTGCTGCTAGCACGCCGTTCCAACCCGCCGTCGCCAAGGATTCCCAATTCTTCATTGCGTTCCTTCTTCTCCTCATTGGTGTTGCTATCACTGGTTTCTTCGCTCTGAGTAAGCTTTGTTCGAACACCTTCGTTCGAAATTCATCGCCTAATATCGTAATGCAGACCGTTCCTTCATCAACATCCCAGCGCTTGGCGTGCCTGCCTCAGCTGCAATTGCGTAAGCCAGACGGCCTTCATTTCCCAGTCGAGGTCCTGTACTAATATCGTACTTAGATTCGGCACGGTATACATGTTCTGCGCGGTCGGAGTCTACGTCTAAGATACCCCAAGAAGCTTTTCGAGTCGGCGGCCACCTTGTACTTTAGAAAACAACCAAGAACTTCCATTTCACCAATCTCTCCATATCGGGTGACTTTCCAAATACACAGTTCTGCAGCGCCAGTAGAAGTCATGTCGGCTGCTCTTCCCCAACCCAGTGCGGTACCGCAGCCGCTGTTCCGCGCTGTGGCCAGCTCGACGAGACCGCTCTACCAGTTGCTGAGGACCATCAGCTTCTCCAACAAGGTCCATGTTCAACTCCAGGAAGATGGAATCAGGTTTGCTGCCGATCTGTCTAGGGTTATGCAAGGCAAGTTTGGCGACCGGTATTTGTAGTGGACAAAATGACTGACCATCGTCTAGGTACTGCCTTCCTCGACAAGAAACTATTTACGTCGTACTCTCTGAATCTTGCGGAGGACGAGCCATTGCCCAACTTTCAAATCACACTCCCAGCACTTCTCGAGACGCTTCAGATTTTCGGCGCCGTGGACATTGCGACGCGCACACAAAAGGCCGAGCAGGACCCGTACCGCAGTAATCTCCGCAATTACCGACCAGATGCGTTTAGTAACCAGACTCTGGGAATTGGCGGAACTTGTAGCCTGGTATATACCGAAGAGGGCGGCCAATTCAACATTATCATCGAGGAAAGCGGGGTCAAGACTACCGCTAGCCTCACAACCTATCTGCCGGAAATCCCAGAGGAGATACCCTTTGACCGGGAAAACCTGTCTTTCAAAATCATTATGCAGGCACGCTACCTTCTTGACGCCTTGGCCGAGCTTGCACCCACCGGCCCCAGCCGCCTAACCATATCAGCCTCGAAGAATCAACCCTACCTTTCCCTTTCCGGTGCTGGCGACCTGGGGTCGTCCAGCGTGGACTTCGCCAAAGGCCGCGAGCTACTGGAGACCTTTTCAATCCAGGATCGATGGACCCAGACCTACAAATTCGATCTGATCAAGTCTTCGAGCGAGGCGATGCGGATTGCTAGCAAAATTAGCTTCCGCGGCGATGCCCAAGGCGTTCTGAGTTTGCAATTCATGGTTGAGGTGGAGGGCGGCGGGGTCAGCTTCTTGGACTTTCGATTTGTGCCATTCATCACGCACGAGGACGATGAGGATGAAGAGGGACAGGATGAGGATGAGTGATTCAAGGCAACATTGGGCCCTGCCCCACCTGCCCTAGCACATAGATGAATGGTAATGGAATTTTCCCAGGGTTACCGGTATCGCAACGGGTTCGAGTTTTTCGTTGCTATCTCTGGCTTTTCGCATACCTTCCGCTTGCGTCAACTTTGACAATAGGCCGTGCTGCATTCCCGAAGCTAGGGCGAACAATGTGTAGCGCTAGCCTTTCCTTGAAGAATTTGGCTCCCAGTCCGCATATACGCCATGTGCGCCTCCCTTGAGAATGACAGCTCGGCTGTTGACCCACGGTCTTCACGCCGGTCTGCTGCCAACAGCATCGATCGCGGAAGCCTTGTGGCTTTTGCCTTTGGTAGAGGCAGCAGGTGGCCTGTCCTGCGGGATGTGATGGCTGTTGAGAGAACATGACGCGCTTGGTGTCTAGTGAACGTCCATTCCTCTCGCAGCGTTCCAGCCATCGGCCAAGCCACCGTGGAGCCGGACAGCGAGAACTGGCAAGCCTGTTCCCAGCAGGCCGGGGCTTACACAATGGGCCGGCCGAGGCAGAAATGTGGTCGTGAGGAATTTGTTCGCAAACAGCAAGGGCGTTGACGGGGCGTTGCGACGGACTTGTTGATGTCTCAGTCGGGCTGAGGTATGCGCAGAGGCTGCGCGGACTGCGCGGGGGCATGCGTGGGCATGTTGGCTGGAATCTTTGTCGTTCCTGATCCCATCATGGGCATTGTCAGTCAGCGTGTGTGTGTGTTGACAGTGGCCACATTTTTTGCCCATGTCGCCCTCCCCGCTCTCTCTCTTCCCACCCGGTAGATATATCTCTCGTCCGCTTGCGGAAGCATCCTGCTCCGCCTCTGCCTTTTGCGGACGTACCATCGTGAACCGGTCCTGAACTAAATATCCTATCCTTCGACTTGTGGTGGTTATAGCTCCATCTTATTTTTCCCTACTGCGCCTTTCTCAACTTTCCTTTGAACGCCTCTCGAAAATCCCACAATCCTTTCGGCTTCGATCTATCCCGTCCATCTGACAATTCGATCCTCCCGCGTGGCTGCTCTTTTGTTCGCCATCACCAATCTCAGACTCATCTCTTTGCTCTCGTGTCTTTAAAACATCGTGGTCCAACCCGCCCATCCATCTCGATTTCCGTTCTCAGCAGCACAACGCTCTCAACGCCTTTTCCAACAATCAAAAACTCAAACAATAGTCCTTGTTGACTACATTCTCCCAGACTCCCTTCAATGAACACCCCTGGATCCTTCGGAATCGTCGATTACTCGTTCCCAATGTGGTCCAAGAAGCACGTCGGCTCCTGGCTCGATGCCTTCAAGCCCGGTCGCCGCTCCTCCACCTCTTCTTCCTCTACTGCCTCTTCATCGGCTCCGTCTTCGCCTCGGTCTGCCACCTTCTCCCTGTCCTCGCGCTTGGGCTCCAACAGCCGGAGCGGCTCCTTGGCCTCTTTGACGTCGATGGGCACCATGGAGGAGCAGGAGTCCCTCATGGGTGACCAGCCGAAGCAGGCCGCTTACGTGCCCCGCCACGCGGCCAAGTCGTTCATGAAGACGACTACCTCCAAGGAGATCCGCAAGCAAAGCGAGATTATGTGAAGAATCACCGATCTCGGATGACCGATCATACAAACAACAAAAACTCCAAAAATACAACATTCGATACCCGGAAAGTTACCATTCTTGGACTCGGCCTCCTCCAGGAGGCCCCATGTCGTCAGACTACGACGTTCCAAAGAGTCCATCAAGATGGTAGACTATACCAGCTCACTACCATATTCTTCCCTTGAGTCAAATAACATTATTTACTCGATCATTCCTATTTCGAATGATTATCGACGCACTCGTATGCAGTCATTATCAACGCCGCTTGCTCGCCTTTTGCCACTTGGCAAGGGTAGAAAGTTTGGGCGGTTGGAAGACGTCCAGGAATAGGCCACGAATTGAGCCTATATTCTCTTTTGTAGAAGGAATCATCATCTACCAGACAAAAAAGGCCAACACAAGGGCCGTAGAGTCGGGATGAGGTTAGAAGGATGAGATGCTAGCGACGCGACATCGCGCACCTAATAGCAAGATTTGGACTCGGCAGCCCGAGCCAATCAGATTAATACCCAACACCTTTTACATCAAAACCCTTCCAACGTGACTGTCTTTTCCCGTGCTGACATACCGCCCGTATATGCTCGTAACAACTCAACTGAAGAGCCAGATTTGGCAGCGGCTCGCGAATCCGACGCTGACCGGCCGAAAGAGGTGAGGGTCTGGTTGCAATCGTACCTTAAATTGGCATTTGGCAAGGCAGGCAGGCCCTCTCTCTGCCGCCACTGACGGACCTCATCGTGCCTTTGCGCGCGTCGATCTGTAATACTGTACGTCCGTATGCAGTCTCCACCCTTAAGAATCATTATATTACTTCCATTGCGGACCTTTTCTCGGCAGGATCGGATCTAGGAGGTAAACCCAAAGACTAGAGAGTGTCCTGAGCTGCTGAGGAGAATCGAATGATGCCATGTTGGGGCTTTGTGCGTGTTTACGTCCGTACGGACTCCACGGGCCACACGCACTGAACAGCAGGAGCACCAAGGGAAATCCATGGAAAATACGGACGGGACGGCAGACGATAGATATGGGGTTTACCAGCCAGGGTGGAGGACATGGGGCCAGAAATCACCGAGGCCGACAGCTTTTCTACATGAAATAGAAAAAGACTCGAAAGGAAAAAGCAAGCCTGCCTCAGGGAAGCTGGAGAGGACGAACCTAAGTACCTTGTTATTGAAGAAAGTTAATTCTTTCTGAGTCACAAGTACAAGAATACAGTTTTAATAAAACAGTATAGTGCCCACCCAGCACTTGAATTGAGATGCTTTTTCAAGCTCGCCATGAGAGAAAGAGGACGAACCACGATGTCTCAGCTCCCACTGTAAGTGTAATGCGAACCGCCAACCTCGAGGGGCATTCAATGTAACGCGGGCGGGCGGATGGCAGGGGGTTTAGAAGGACAGGGGGATTTTTTTCTGGTAGCAGGAGGGCAGAAGCTGCCGGCTCAAGGTGCCATTCGTGAGGTCGGAAATAGAACGGCTAGCCTTCTAAGGCTGTCTCGTCTTGGCCTTGGCCTGGTAGAGTTTAGGTGTATTACTCGCTTCCTCACTCTCAACGGTTTTTAGGCAAGGTCAACCAAAGCCAGTCTTCCCAGAAGAGAAGTCAAAAATGAAGAATCGAGCAGAGTTGTTGGAAGGTTGAAGTTGTGCGGCAACCGCGCCTGGGGCGAAACAGCAGAGATCAAGTGAGACAAGGTTGGTTCAGTGGTCTTGAAAAATGCAGAAGGAAAGAGCAAACGTTTTCTTTGTTTGAATGCGGTGGTGCTGGTTGGCAGACGAGAGTGGAAATGGGCAGTTGGCTCGCCTGATTCTTCTCTGAACAGCCAGGTTTTCAAACGACAGCTTTAAGGATCCAAGACCAACGGCAGCCCTCCACAGCCGCCGCGGCCCCCAGACTGAATGGCTAGTTCAGGGCACAAATATGAGATCTTGCAAGGGCCAGGAAGGTTAATGGTGTCTCTGGTGTTTGTGTTGCGCGTGGGTGTTTACCAGCATGTCAGGGACCAGAAAAAGAGAGAGAGAGAGGGAGCAGGGCGCCCTGGCAAGTTCAACTCAGTTTAGATGTCAGCTGGCGGGCAACTGTGGGGGCAATCTACCTTATGAGCGGCCGCTAAAAGCCCATGCCCAACTTATCCGCAACGCATCTGAACCTTGATTAGGTGGTTGGCAACCGCACAACTTAGCCACCACAAATCAGCTGGACTGGCTACTGGACGGTAACGAACACGAACCCTTTGCTTCTTCATCACCGCCTTGGCCGACGAGCCAGCCAACCAACATCGGCATGCCATGTACGATGGACGTCACCGGTTGATATTCTGCTTGCCCGTTTACGGCCGCCGGGAGAGAGGATGGGGAAAGACTAAGAGAAGCAGTCTTCAGCCCCCCCCCCCCCCCTCGTCAGCTTGGCCACGCCCGCTTGGCCTGTCTGACTAACAAACGGTGGATGAGAAGACTCTGCAGACTCGGGGACATCCACAAAGCCCATTTCAGCCTGTGATGGGTGAAGATTCTCTTCCTGTCCTCGAACGCATGCTGTTTCCTGAAACAACCCACCCCTCAATACTCATCCATTCCCACATCGCGTCAGCGGGAATACGCAGGAGAACGTGGCCTGGAGGCCAACGTCTCCATCTTCCAAGTTCCGCGTCGTATCCCCCGGCAGTATCGATTCGCGTCCTACCCCTCGTTCGGTACTAGAGGCTCTGCATCTTCTCGGCGTGCGTCCGGTGGACGCGGATAATGCCGAATGATTGACACTGGCGAGCCTGGGGATTGCCTTGCCCCGTCAGTTCCCTACCTGGAATCTGGATTGTTCGGGTTCAGGGCCCCTCGATGAGGGACTGATTTCCTGCAGCTTGTCCTAGAGGGTTGCGCTGCCCACACCAACCTGGAAGATACGGGAATAGTCACTCGTTGGAAGCAGCGAGTCGCTGCTGTCTCAACTGCGGCCAAGCAAGTGCTTACCGGTCGCCGGTCGGTGAGAGTGAGGTGAGACTAGGCACTTGAGGGCATCCATCTGGAAGATCGTCATCGGTCAGCAGTTCGCTGGCAACCACCGACTTTTCATTCTTGAGATTGCGGCATGGCCGGTCAATCCTAGCTACCACAGGCGAGCAGGGCACGGTCCGGTTCCATGGCTTTCCTGGGAGCGAGCTGTCACCGTTTCGACGTTTTCCGCTGGCAATATGTTGTGCTCTCTGGGCACCAGCCGTCGATTTCCTTGTCAGGACGTTGAACAGCTTGCTATTTCTCCTGCTTTCGTTACTTTCAAGCTTTCGCAAAACCCTCGGTCGTGGCTGGCAAGTAGGTGCCAGGGTTACGGGCCGGATTACATCCAACTGGTTGCTCCTCTCTGCACGTCGCCGCCCGCGTCGTCGTACGGCGAGGACTTCTATCG